TCAGTGGCCTAACTAGCTTGGGGTTTGGAGACAGAACTGAAACAGCAGCTCCAGCAGCCATAGAATTAATACTTTTGCCACCACATATAGGTCATCTGGCTTATGGGAAGCCCTGTGGTCTGGATTTGGTCTGTGAGAAGCCCTGCAATCCGAACTGGGTGAATGAAGCCCAGTGAGTTTGACACTGATATGTATAACTATAAAATTGCTCTAGCTTCAAAATACAATTAGTGATCCCTGAGTATCATGGTGACCAATGACCAAAAATTTAAAGAAAAAAATAACTTTAGTATAGGCCATTCCAATGGGGATATTTGAAGGTGGGTTCAATTTGACATTATAGAATTTATATGATTAAAATTGTGAATTCTGAAATTTGAAGGTGAAGGTAATGTTCAAAGATTTAATGTGGGTCTTGTCCATGGGGTTGTCTCTTATGTTAATATTAATAAGCTCTTCAGAGCAGAACCAGGTCTTACCATATGGTTTGGAAAAAAAGTCTAAAGTGCTTATGGGGGCTGTAAATATTATAATAATGATAAGTTTCACATGAGGAGATGAGGAAGATTAAGTATCTTTTTTATATACCAGCAAATTTTATTTCTTAGATTCTTTCAACAAGCTATTTAGCTCTTGAAGCCAAAAGAAACTCAGTGGTGATCCCCGTCCTAGTATTGTCTTATTTCATCTTTTATTTTTTTCATTTCTGCCTTCATTGTTTTTCTTTTCTTCCCCTCTCTTCCATGTTAGCATCTCTTCTCTGTTGCTCCCTCTTTCCATGATCTCCCTTTTCTTAACTGTGCCATTATTATTGTCACTATAGCGGGTTTTCTGTAATTGCAGTGAGAAAGGTGATACAGGCTCTTAAGTAGCTTCCACTTTCTATATCACCAACTGCTTGCCCCACTGGTGAAGAAATAAGCAGGAGCAGAAATGGGGGTGCCTGCTTTACATGTGGGCCTCATAATCCCTTTACTCTGGCCTTATGTGTTCCTGCTAGGCTGTCAAAGAAGTGAGGATTTTTATCTTCCAACTCCAGTAGCTAATTTAAATGTATTTATAACTGAGTTCCCAATTGAAAATGTTTGGCTCCCCTTTGCACAGCTGTTACTTGGCCCTCTGTATATTTAATTCTATGTCTCATTTAAAGATAACTGTCTTGGGATCCAGGTTATATATCAGTTACTCTTTGTGGTTTGAGACTAAGACAGAATAAGATTTAAGTTTTGGTAGCACTGAAAGCTCAGGATCTCTTCTGATGAGGTTCCATTGTATATGCTGAACTTATTGCAGCAGGGGCAGGTCAGGGGATGTGCAGTAGTAGCCCATGGAACTCTCCACCCCCAGCCCAGCAGAGGACAATAGGGGGCAGGCGCAGAAAGGGGGGATCTATCCACTGTCACTGCTGTAGAACCCAGCACCCTGCACAGTTGCTCCCAACAGCTGGAATCTCCAGAAACAGATGCTGGAAAGGGGGAGCTTTCCTAACACTGCTGCCACTGTCCCTGGCTGACCCAGGTGTGGAGGGAACCACAGGACCATTCACTTCAGGGGTAGCTGTCCCACTCCAACCGGGGATGGTGGAGAGCAGCTTTGAGAGGTGCCATGTTCAGCTGGGGACAACAGCAGAGGCAACTGTTCCTCCCTTTTCCTGTCCCTGTTCTATTTCTCCATCACTGGGTCCTCTGCCAGCCCAAGGGCTCCAGCTGCAATTAACAGCTGTGCAATGCTGGGCTCTACCAGAGATGGTGGCAACAGAAGGCAGGTTCCTGCTTCTTGCCCAGCCTCCTCTCAGTTTCTCATGCCAGCCTTGGGGGCCCACCTGCCCCTGTCCTCCAATTCCCGCCATGGTCAAGCTATATACCCCTTTTTAAAATCCTGAATCCACCTATGTATTGCAGTATCACTGGGCTTCAGGATATTCCCAATCACAGCTAAAATGGGGCTGGAAGCAGTGCATCTTATGGGTTTATATCTAGACAGACACAGCCTTAGGCTAGGTTTTGACCTAAGAAATCAAACGTCAAACCATTTAAAATTTTGAAGGATTCATGTTTGGTCAAATCAACAGAAGTCATTATTTCAGTTAGGATAACTAATATCTTGTCCCACCATTTATTCTTAAATACTATGTCAGTGCATTGTGGAGCCATTTGGAAAGCTTATATTTAGACTCTGGCTCAAGCTAGAGCTTTCCAAACTGGCTGAGACTGCAAATTGTCTTCTGTGAGAGAGAAAGCATATTGTGTCACTCTTATGTGACTCTGACATTCAAAATACATTGACAAATTCTGATGAGTCAGTTTGCTCTGACTGTACTGTGAGTTGTCTAATATGAAAACTGAAGGTGATAGGAACAGGTAAGAAGCTGGGTGAAATGGTAGATCCTGGAGGATCTTCCTCAAAAAATGAAATGAGTTAGTAATTTCTTTGCATCCAATTTTCCCCTCTCATTATTTTAAAATGAATTTTAAAGGATGAATGGTCTTTTCCTCATCTATGTAACTTTTCAGCTGTTTTTTAGTTTTAATATATATTAGCTGTTCTAAACATAGTTAAGACCCATACCAAAGAATAATATCATGTTTTAAGTATGCTATCAAATATGTTTATAGTGAAACATGCTTTGAATGACAACTCAAAAGCCCAGCAGAAAAAAGATTGTATGCTTAATAATGATGATATTGTAATAAAGATGGAACTGAACTGTATTCTATTTGGGGATGCTCCAGGGTAGTTACTAGAGGAGGATGAAGAGGAGAAAGGAGGTTGCAATTAGCAAGCTAGATTTCATGGCATCTTGGTGCACTTCATTAGAAATCATAAATCTACTTAAAAAGAGTTCTTAACTGAATATGGAAATGAAAGAACAGTACAGTAGTCCCTGTTATGCTGTCTTTTGTATCCAGTTTATTTTACAGTGTTACTTCATTTTTAGTGTTCAGTGTGTCAAAAACCTTTCATTTGACAGTACATACCTGAATTGTAGATTCTTTCAAGCTTGAACAGAAGATTTTTAGTCAGTTGGTAGGGGACATTTGGGCCTTTTGGAACCTGAGGAGACACTGGGGATAGTTTGGGATAAGCACATAAGTAGCGATAGCATTTTAGGTAATGAAACAAATTGGCCTCATTAGTTGTTGAGGGCTCCCAGGTATCACACATTTTCCTTGACATGCATTGAAGCCCTGCATTCATGCAGCCTGCCTAGATACTCACGAAGTCAGGTAGACTTCAGGGGTTTCTCTGCGCTTATTCTTCCTTCCTGTGGAGGTCTGCTGTGGAGACACTGTTTGGCAAGCAGCCTCTTTGCCTCTTCACCCTACTGCCCACCCACTTCCCTTTCTGAATCCATGTGCAGAAGTAATGGCCAATGGGGACATATTTTGAAATGTCCATTTTTGGCCCCAGCTAAACTCTTCAGCCCACATAATTCACAAGATGCTTCTTACAATTCAGGTATCCCCTCATATTGCTAACCTCTCTTGTCTGATTATCCACTCAGTGATACAACCCCAGGAAGCACCTATAAACCACAGACATTTTCAGACTCATTCATTCATTTACCCTAGACCACTTTCCTAACTTGTGACTGAAAGTGAGGGAACTTAATGACTCTCATCTGTAAGAATGATCACATACGCAATTACACAATATTTGTTAGCTATAGTTTCAGGGGGATGAATGGAATAGATCATATCTTTCAAGCTGAAGGCTTTAGCTCTTTACACACCAAGAAGAAATTATTTCATTGGTTCACAGTGGTACATCTTTTTGGTGGCTTATTTATAAACATGCTAGAAAAAAACTTAAAAAAATAATAGCTTAGATTCTGGATCATGTTTCTTCCCCAAAAGGTAGGCAAGTAATGGATTTTTCTGTAAATTCTATCTGTGTAAAACAGGTAAGCCCTGAATATGTCTTTATGCAGTAGCCCCAATACGTTTTTTACATATGTTTACGTATTAAGATGACAGAAATAAGAATTCCTTAGTCACTGCATTTTATTATGCCAGTTGTATCTCTTTTGAAACATTTGGTTTATTGAATACTGCAGCACCACTGAACTTGGAAAGATTCCTCCATCCATTAAACAAAGGTATCTTTCTAATGATCCGTATCTCATTGAGAACTGTTTTTTCATCAAATTGTTTTTGCATTGTACTAGATTAGCTTTTATATATACATTCTATAGATCTGTTTTATTGTATTGCCAGAAGGATTTATTAACATGCCCCTTCCCTCATATGCATATCAAAAAAACAAACACATTTAAGCACAAATAATTACTTTAAAGGCTGTTTTTAGTTTGACTCAGAGCTGAAGTCCCTATTCTTACCTCATTGTGCCCAGATACCCATTACAGCACTATTTGTTTTTACCAACATATTGTTAATGGAAACTATATATGGGTAGCCTGGGGAGAACAGTCCTCGTTGTGCACCCGTGGCCTAATGAGGTGCTTAGTCACTGGAACATGGATGCTTCAAAGTGACATAGCCATATGCTTTGCATCTTCTCGTAGAAATATGCTAGAGCTTTAAATGGTTATGTCTGCTGTTTTAGCCGGAACAACAAATAGCCTGTGTTGAGGGATTCAAATCAAGTCCTTAGTGTTAAATTTATTTGTGACCTACATGGTTTATTATCTGCATTCCAGAGGCATAACTTGACAGCTCTGTGCCCAGGGATGCAGTGCAGGGAGCAGAAGCAGCAGATATAACTGGGCAAGGTGGTGCTGCTGCAGGGGTTAACATGGAAGCCACTGCTGAATTGAGTATTGAGAGGCAATTTAAAAAGTGAAATTCTGCGGCAAAAAAAAGAGGAAAGAAGATTAACTGACACCCCCCAGAGGAGCAGCTCTGCCTGCAAGGAAACCTCTGGCCAGGGCCAACTGTATAGTGACTGCTCTGCACTCCCCTCACATCTCGCATGAGTACTGCATCTGGCTGTCAGAGGCACTGAAAAAAAGGTGGAGGGTGGGGACAAGGGGAGGCACACCCCCCTCCCCACGGCCACATCCCAGTACTCTCCCCACTTAGTTATGCTACTGCTGTATTCCCATCCAGCTTGCTAATAGTTATCACATAATAGAAAATACTCAGGCTGCTCATTTTTGTCCAGTTGTCAAACAAACCTCATATTTAGTGGTCCCATAGGAAGAGTAAAAGTTTCTTTGTACATTATCCTTATTGAATATCTATTGCCAGCAAAGAACATAGACAACACTGGCAGTGAACCAACATGTGTAAAGTGGTTTATGTTGTCATAACAAGGTCATCTCTGAACAATTCCAGACTATGTTGAACTTTTGAATGATTGTATGATTTTCGTTAATGCACTTGTCTATCTGTGGCTTTACAGGTTCTTAGCTGCATTCATTAAACTGTTTGTTATATAGACCTTTACTTGTTATTGAACTATAAATATATTATATTTGCATATATGAATTTAGGTGGGAGTAAATCTCCCATTTGGTTGTGGGCAGCCCATATATATAATCATGTATAAAATGATTTCTTGAGGCATTCTGTGGTGATTTTGAACATTTTTATGGTTGACTGAAGCTTTTATATTACTGTTAGATAAAGGATCAGCCTGTCTTGCTTTTCATGATTTCAGGGATATTCCCAGAATACCTGACAGTACACATGCACAACTGGAGTCCAGTAAGTTTCATTTTTTTGGTAGTAAATTTCTTTTACATGAATGCAAACAGAGAAATTGAAAAGATGGCTATCTCTCTGTCTCTATCACTCTAGCTGCCGATCACTCTTTACTAATACACATCAGAAGTCAGGGGATTTAGTTAAGGTGGCAATCCTCATTTTTAATTTCCTGTGTTGAAGTTTTATTTATTAAACAAAAATAAATAAAACTTATTAAACAAAAACATAGGAGATGTTTGGGCCACTCAGTATGACTTAAAAATTACCGAACCAAAATTTCTGTGGGGAGGAAAATAAAGATTTATCTTTGCCTTTGACCTTGGATGTCAAATTTCATTCTGAATGTATTTTCTATGGCCATCTTATAGTTTGTTTATTTATATATGCTATTATTAAAATTATAAACATGTTAATTACAGAAATGTAAACAAACACACTAACTCTCTAGTTATGAATCAGGCCTCAAAATAAATGTGCTTGTGCTTTGCAAGAAATTGGATATTAATATCCATTTTTGTACTGTATACTAACTTATGTTCCTCCTCTTGCTCTATCTGTAATGTCACAAATCTGTTCTGTCCCACTATTTGGAACAACAAACCAAACACCCAAATATTATCACCTGTCTTCTGGTATTTTTATAAAATTTCAGGATAATTTGATTTAATTCAACAAAGTTCTGAGTACCTTGTGAAGTGTGCAGAATGCCATGAAGACCCAATTAAATCAGTGGAAACTGAGGGGATCTAGCACATAAGCATGTTTTGAAATATCTAGCAAATATTGAAATATACCATTTATTCCTTATGCGTGACATGAATTTTCACAACATATTTTAATTGGATTTTTCTCTGCATCTTGAGAGGCATTTGGTAATTCTAAATACATTACAAGAATGCCAATTTTCATTACTATAAGCTGCATAGTTATTGTATAACAGGCTCTTTTGATATACATGCCTTTTGTATATCTTAATGTTTTACAGGACTATGAGAGTAAAAAACATTACATAGGTTTTAAGGTATACATTTGTATTTTCAGGTTCTAGCTCATTTGAATCTCAAAAAATGGATCGACCTTCTATTTCAGTGACTTCTCCCATGAGTCCTGGCATGTTGAGGGATGTTCCGCAGTTTTTGTCTGGACAACTTTCAGTATGTAAACGTTTGTTTAATATAATCATTTTGAAGTTGGTAATGTGGCCCATTTTTAATGCTCAGTGCCATCTAGTTATAAAATAATATTCCTGCTAGGCATTAGTGAAGAAAACGGCATTTCTCAGTATAGGTAGAGCTGTATGTTTTTAAGAGCAGCCTCTCTCTTTCTTAGCGGGGGTGTGTGTGTGTGCTCATTAAACTGTAATACTAGTGTTTTGAGACTTGGGGTCAAATTTGCAAATGGATCTGAAGTTGGTCTCCTGTCATTATGCAAATGGGCACACTGACACACACACTTTTAAGCAATAATACAGGCATGCACAGTTTGTAAATTTTATCACTTGAGTGTGTGGAGATTTTCCCATTGTTCTTTTATCATATAGCGGTTCCCCTCTAGCTCTTTCCTCGGATACTCCTTTGCTTGTTTGCTGCTGCTGTAGTCTCTCCACTGATCTGTCATGATATTCACTTACCCTCACTGCAACCAGAGCTCATCTGTTCGCTCATTCTCTGAAAATATGGCTTTTGGACTAAACTAAAGGATTTGGAGCTTTGTGTGCTTTCCTGTGTTTTTCAGAATATGAAGATGAGATTTTCGAAAGAGCAACCTTTTCAAAAGTGCTGTATTATGCCCTGCAAAGTCAATGGGGAACGACTTCAGTAGAAGCAGTTAGATCAGAGATAAATGATTTTGAAAATACCGTCTTTTTATTTTTATGTTTTGATTTGTATGATTTGGGATGATATGAACATATACATAAAATCTAAAGAAAATTTTCATGAGATTCACAGAAATGATGTGATATGTAGATGAGATAAGACTATATACTATTTCCAGTCTGGTCAGCAGTCTTGTTTGCTACCAGTTTGCTGAGGATGGGATACTTGTTTTGCTTATCAGTATAATCACCTGTAACTAGTGTAATTTAATTTCCTGTACCACTTTGCAAGACTAGAGTTAGGAATGTAGATATCTTAAACAGCTTCTTGGTAGAGGCTCTATTAGGTGTTGAGGCTCTGGAGCTATTTGAAGTGGTTCAAAATACAAGAACAAGACACATGAATGCATGTAATCTGAGCTATTAAAGATACAAGCATTAGGTTTTTTAAAATTTAAGAACTAATATATACTTTTCAAGCATTGCAAGAGTTACATTATTGATAACATAAATACAAAATAATTTAAAGCTAAATCCAATAAAGGTATTTAGATGTTTATAATTTAGAAGCTGTAACATCTAACATTTACCTTCTGGAATGAAGCCTAGAAGGTAGAAATAGCCATTTAGGCTCCTTATACAGTGCATGGAAGAACTAAGCAGATAATAATAGCAAACAAAAACACCTGCACAAGCTGCACAAGGAGCTGGGAACCACCTGGAATTAGCCAGTAGGAAACTCTGAGCAGAGGGTCTGGGGAGGAATCTTTTTCAAATAAGTTCGTGGTGAGCTCGTGCCCACCCTGTATATAATAGCTTAGGGTTGAAGGACTCATCCAGTTACATTAAGCAGTTATCAGATAAAATTCAGAATGAGTCCCTGGAGCAGGATCCAGAACTCTCCCAGATGAGTGCCCTAACTGCTAGACTAGACTCAGGCTACTTTTGGTGTTCTCCATTTGGATCCACAGCTCTTGAATTCCTTTTTGTATAGTGGCACAGCTTCAATACCGAGTTCCTTTCTAGGCAGACTCTTCCAGATCCTGTGGTTAGGCTCCTGGGAGGTAGAAGATATGGGTTTAAAATATCTCAGGTGGAGGAAGACATTGAACCTGTGCCTCCTATTTCCAAAATGATTCTATAATGACTAATCTATTACAGAAAAGGGGGGCACCGCCAAGATCCTTTTACAAAGTGTAAGATCTAAACACTAGCTTAATATATAAAGGATATGTAACACCACAAGGCATTTCATGAGAGGCTGATCCTCTCACTATGAAATATTTCTATACTAGCTTGCTGCTGTGCCCAGGACCTACTTACCTCCTTTCAGCATATAACCAAGCCAG